TCAGTTTTATATTGGTTGTTATTTGTTAGCAGTTATGATGTAAACACCAAGGGCAGATATGTCCTTTCATGTAACTAGCATAACCTATATATATTAACTTAAAGTGGCGGCGGCAGAATAATTGACATTCTGTTCTCCTCAAAATCTTTGTTCTATTGCTCTTCCATCACTCTTTCTTCTACATCTTCACTTTCTCTTCTCATCGAACCTAAAATCTCTTAATGATCAAGACTGAATAGCAGTCTTGAAAACCTACAAATACAAATAAGTACTCTCAAGTAATGAGACATTACAACATATTCTGCAACAAGTTGACTTACATCATATGTATCGACAAGGGCTAGAAAGTTTTGGGGGAATGACAATGCATATGAGATAAAAGCTGCCAACTCGCTTTGATTGGTCTCACCAAAAACACCATGCAATGAATGTGTCCACTGAAACAAATGCATAAGAAGATCCAGAAAAGAAGTTAAATGGTAAATAACAATGGAAAGATACACAATGACATCATAACACACTCTCAGGGGGGCAGCCATTATCCATGTTCATAAAAGCTAATATGATTGAAATACAAAGTATGGAAGGAAAGCATGGGGTTAATATTGAGGCCTGACAGCTAGACTTGCCTTCAAAAAAAATATTAAGGGAAAAACAGAAACTTTTAGCTGATATAATTTAATGAATATATATACTAAGAAGAGTACACATGCATGAAAACATGGTTCAGTCAAGATGCCCATACATGGATACTGACATGGAGATGGACTGAAGGACAAAGCTGTAAATTTTCATTATCTAAAGGGAAAGGGAACTGCTTGGCATTGATGCAGCAGAATGTAATCATTCAGCAAGATGCAAGTATGTTTTCTAGCTGAGTAAAAGCAAGATGCAAGAAAACACCAATAATGACTAAATTAAGTTAAAATAGTTGAGTAAGAGACAAGAATTGTCTTTTAACAAAAAACAACCTGAATTTTTCTTAGCCAGGTCTGCACCAGACTAACAAAATCTTCACAAGTACTTGAGCCATCATTACGACAAAGTGATTTGTCAATAATCTCATTGGGGCTCTGCAATCAGTTGATAAATTAGAACAAAGAAAAGAACTTTACAGTTTACACAATAAAGTAGACTTAATGGTATTGTAGAAAGCCATAACCAACTATAATGTTTTTACATTGTAGCCATCGAGCATCTGGTAGTTACCAAAAAAAATCATTGGCATAGATAAAACATGCAAAGGAGCTAATAGAGTCAGCATAATTTCCTAGCCATGAGGTTAAAATACTAAAAAAATGTCAAAGTAGAAATTGCCAATAAACAGAAGAAACACATAAAGAAAGCCTTGATAGATGATCTATACTTCCTTAAAACAAACCCACCAGTGAAATGAGTTTGTTATTGTCATTTAAGCCCTGCTCCAAAGTATCTGGGGCCAAACAAAGTTCACTCTACTCTATTTAGGAAATGATTTTTTATTGAAGGCACAAATCTTAAAAACACTTTTTGGCACTGTCTAGTAGGGCCGAAGTTTGCTGGGTCAACAACAGTGCATTTGTCACCTTGTAGCAGTGAGGCTCAAGATTTTAAGAATGTCAAATATTGCTATGGCATGGAACATGGAAAAGGAATTCATGCCCCAGGACAGATCTGCCATAAAACATGATATAATTTAAGTAAAATTTAATTTTGACTTTTTAATAACTTTTTCAATTTACATTCATCTTTTTTATGGATTATTGCAAAGGATTCTTCAATGACATCTTTTCTAGATCCGATTGTTGTATTGTTTCTTTTTTTCCTTTTCTAATTGGTAAAAAAATCAATAGAATTTTGTTCAAGAAAGAAATAGAAGAAAAAAAATAAAATATACAAGAATGTGCAAAACAAGGAAACAACCCCCACACTGACACACCTGCGTCCAAACACATCCATGGGCTAGTCTGGATTCAATTCTTACCTCTCCCGCCTCCTTACTCCTCAAACTAATAAATCAGCTAAATCACTGGCTGATCTTCAGACCAATTAGAACATCTTCACTCCAGAAGCTAAAGGTCTAAACTACCTTTTGGACAGGGAAGAAGCAAGAATATTGCTTTCAGGAAATCCCCTTAGCTACATTGGCTTCTGGAGAGATATCTGCACTCATAAAAGGTTGCTTGGTTTTGAAAAGGTAATGAGGTTTCTTTCTTTTTGATTGATAACATGTACTTAATTGATATAAAGAATGAGATTTCTATAATGATGACAAGAGCCTTCCATCTTGGGCTGGCTGCTGCCACCTCACCTTTCTTTTTCTATTTACTATAAAATTGTTTTTATGTTACATATTCCCCACACATCCCCAATATAAATGTCCTCAATTGATCACTTGTTTTACCATTGCACCAGACAGCCCATTGGCTGATCTATGGATCCAGTTGACATTGATAACTATATGATATCCCTTTTCAACACTTTTATTTCCTCATAATGTTTCTACATTGCCATGGGACTGGACTGCCATTTTTGAGCCAACTCATCACTACTTTTGAATCCCCTTCCATTACCGGATTTCTATAATGAAAGATTTTGCAGTCTCAATCCTTATATTGCTCCTATTGCCTCTGCCTTCATGGAGGTTCTATGAAATTATGAATATGAGGAATGGCTTGATGTTTTCTACATGGATAAATGCTACATTTTGTTCAAGAGGCCATGATTGCACCATGATATGGTTTACCATTCAAAGAAGAGTGATTATAGGATCTGTTAAGACAGGAAGAAGTTAACCTTGCCTCTACATGAAGAAGCTTAGGACATCTCTAAGGGAAGCACCTGAGGTCATTGAAAAGGATACATATATGATGCCACAAAAACATGATACCAGAAGATTTTTGACCAATCAAAACCCTCCTGTGAATTTTGGTCAATACCACCTGATTGATCACCACTTTTGTGATAACATTGATTGGTTCTAAGTTTTTCCAATATCATGTCTTTCCAGTGTCATAGTCAAGCTCCACTGAAAATATTTGGACATCATGTATGTGATGTAAATGAAGGGTAAGACCGGTATCATTGTCAATATCCATTCATTGCTCATTAATGTTGTGTTGAGCTACTGTTCAACACAGGAGTCGACTTTGAGGGCGACTCAGTCTCCTAGTGAGAAGAGGAAGGAGATAAAGAAATAGTGTGAGAATTCTCATGTGATTCCCATTGCTCTGCTGCTACTTATGGGCTTTACATGTGAGGTCATGTGCCATGTGCAGTTAGTTATTCCCAGATGCCTGACATGGCTTCCTGTGGTAAACATATTGAATGAGTGGTTTTGATGGTAAGGTCGAGCGCGAGGGACCAAGATCATCCCTGGGCAGGTTTGGGCTCGAATCTGGAGCATACACAGCAAGTGGAATGGGTTGTGTTCTATCATATTGTTTTTTAATCAATCTAGACATTACTAAATTTTAAGTTAAAGCATTCTATGTACCTAAGTGGCCTAGGTATAGAGATGGAGATAAAAGTGGATACTAGAAACATGGATATGACTCTGAATTTCCTAAGATCCAAGACAAGGATATAGATCTAGGTGTCCTATTTAATATCCAAACATTTGTATTTTACAGGGTTTATTCTAACATATTTTATAGTACAATTTATTAACACACACCATTTTATATATTTTAGAAATGTTAATGCTATGAGTATCTACCATAGAAGTTTGAATGCAATACCCGGTGTTGTATTGGGTTCCTATTATGTTTGAAATGAGTACTGTAAGCATCTATAGTTATCCAGGTATTCTAGCTACAAACTAGTGAGATTTGAGGACAAGTTTCTGATAATTGAGAACACAAACTCATGATAAAAAACCAGTGACAACACTGTTGATAGTTAATACAATAACAGTTGTAGAAATATCCTTGATATGCTTTCCTATGGAAAATGTAACCACCAACCATGAATGAGCTAACAAAGGCATGAGAATGTGTTCCACGAAGTGGAATCCCAAATAACTGCCCAGCTGCAACATTGCTGTCAATACAGGAAGCAAACTCATACATGAGAGACATGTAAAGTTACTCGAATTAACCAGAAAAGCAATTGTAGAAAGACAAGGATGAAAGAAGCATAGTCAAGTGATCCTTAAAACAATTGCTAGAGAAAGAACAAACAAATCCCAATTTATTTCTCAATTTCATAATGAAGTTGACTTATGTGGAGTAGGATCAGAAATACCAACCACCCACAGAAGATGGAGGCTTAAAAGATAAAATATAGATACTTAGATACTTAAATATTCTGAAGAAAAATTAAATAGAGATAAAAAGATTCTTTGGCACCTAGGAATAGAAAAAATATGGGATCCATACATACTAAATGTTCTAACAATTTAAGCAAACAAAAAATGCTAGAAATATCAGAAAAGAATCCATAGGGTGTTAAATCCAAAATATCTCCAATACAGACACATTTTACACATGGAAGAGGCCATGCAACACCGATCATGTAGATTTTAAATCTATCCAAGAATCTCATTTTTCCATTTAACTTGCATCAAGTGACTGCCAATACCGTAGCTACTCCATAAATTTTTTCCTCTCAATCTAACAGGTATAGTGTTTTAAAAGCGCAAGGCGCAAAAAAAGCGCAAGGGCCATTTTGCGCCTAAGGTGCAAGGTGCAAGGCAAGGCACGCGCCTTTTTGAGGCAAGGCGCGCGCCTTTTTGAGGCAAGGCGTAAAATTAAAAAAAAAAAGCAAAAAATTCAAAAAATTATAAAACATAATATTAATAAAAATATAAACTTAAGTTTTATAATAAATGTTTTTAAAAACCTATTATCTAAAATTAAAATACATAAATATAATATGTAAAGCATATTCAAATGAGAACTAAAAAATGAAATCAAACATATAAAACCCACAATCTCTTTTTTTTCTCAATTGCATCAAGTAGCTGATGTGACATATTACATTCCTAATCCCACGAGCCGCCTTTGTGCCACGCCCCTCGAGGAAAGCCCAAACAAGGCCATGTTAGGGTCTTAATTCTTAGTTTTCACACAAAAAATAATAATTTTATAGTTTTAATTGCTTTAAGAAGATATTTTATTATGATGAATGAATGGACAACATTACCAAATAGGGAATTCTTGAAGCTCCAGAGAGGTGTGGCACGGGGGAGACTAAAAAAAATGGAAAAAGCGGCAAATTTTCAAAAGGTGCTTTGAATGGGTTGCGCCTAGGCCCTGGGCGAGGCGCCTATCCTAAAATGCGCCTCGCCTGTGCGCCTAGGTGCGCCTTTTAAATCACTGAACAGGTATGCACTCATCAAACAACATTCTAGATGCACCTCTCCACTTTGTTTTCTGGAACACAGTAGCCGAAGAAGAAGAAGAGAAGAAGAAGAGGAGAAAGTTTAAGAATGGCAGCTCAAAACCTTTCAGCCGACCCTACTATCTTATATATATGTTTATTACATAGTGTTACATGAAAGGACTAGAATGCCCCTGATTAGTGATGGGACACCTAGACAAATAAAACATTAAACAAGTTTAGGCCCAATAACTAATGACTTAAGACCCAACAATGACAAACATATACATTAAATCTGCCGAACCAACACTCCCCCTCAAGCTAAGCATGGATGTCAGTCATGTTTAGCTTGCCAAGTAAGTCCAAGTATTTCGTTGAAGCTAGTCCTTTTGTTAGCACATTTGCAATCTGCATCTCGGAAGGAGTCTAAGGAATGCAGAGTTCCCCTGAGACTATTCTTTCTCTAACAAAGTGCCAGTCAATCTCAATATGTTTCGTCCTATCATGTTGCACTGAGTTATTTGCAATGTTGATGGCAGCCTTGTTGTCACAGTACAACCTGAGAGGACACTCGATCTTTATCCCGAGTTCACCAAGAAGGGTCCTAAGCCACAGAAGTTCAGCAACACCATGAGCCATAGCTCGATATTCAGCCTCTGCACTTGATCTAGCAACCACATTCTACTTTTTACTCCGCCATGTAACCAGATTCCCTCCAACAAGCGTGCAATACCCAGAAGTTGACTTCCTGTCCCCAACAGAACCGGCCCAATTTGCATCAGTATACGCTTCAATTTCAATTTTATTGTGTTTTCTGAACAGAATTCCTTTTCYYRGGCAAGTCTTCAARTACMTRAGAATCCTTTCCACTGCTCTCATATGAGGRATCTTTGGAGAGTGCATGAACTGGCTGACAACATGTACAGCATAAGCAATATCTGGTCGAGTGAGAGACAAATATATCAACTTCCCTACCAGCTTTTGGTACCTCTCTTTATCAAGGTAGTCCTCTCATACTGATTCCTATAGACCATGGTTCTATTCTATTGGAGTATCTGCTGGCCTACACCCAATCATACCTGTTTCTTCTAGGAGGTCAAGGACATACTTCCGCTGACATATATAGATGCCCTCTTTTGACCTAGCAACTTCAATCCCAAGGAAGTATCTCATATGGCCCAAGTCTTTGATCTCAAACTCAGAAGCCAAGAACTCCTTTAATCTTTTTATCTCTTCCAGATCATCCCCAGTAATCACCATATCATCCACATAGACAATGTGTGTAGTAAGTTTGCTATTTTGTTTCCTTATAAACAAGGTATGATCTGCCCCACTTTGAGTGTACCCCACTTTCTTCATGGCCCCACAAAGCTTCTCAAACCAAAACCGAGGAGACTGCTTAAGACCATATAATGCTTTCCTCAGTTTACACACTTTCCTATCAAAAACATAGCTTGGTGGAGGATCCATGACTACCTCTTCATGTAGATCACCATTTAGGAAAGCATTCTTCACATCCAGCTGATGTAGCTCCCATGAAAAGTTTGCAACTAATGACAATAAAACCCGGATTGTGTTGAGCTTCGCTACTAGAGCAAAGGTTTCTTTGTAGTCAATCCCTTCCTTTTGAGCAAACCCCTTTGCCACAAGTCTGGCCTTGTACCTCTCAATGGACCTGTCCTCCCTATGCTTTACAGTGAACACCCACTTGCATCCGACAGTGCTCTTCCCTTCTGGTAGATCCACTAATTCCCAAGTCCTTGCTTTCATTAAGGCTTTCATTTCTTCATTCATAGCCTCTYTCCATCTTGGGTCAGACACTGCCTCTGAGTACCTAGTAGGGACATGCACGAAGGAGAGAGTAGACACAAAGGAATAATAACGAGGAGATAAACGTGAGTAAGAAACAAAWTCAGCAATGGGGTGTCGGATAGTACAAGAACGGGTAGACTTACGAAGAGCAATAGGAAGATCCAAATCAGAAGTATGTGTGATAAGATTACTTGGAGTTGCTAAGACAGGTTGATCCGAGTTTGATTGGTTGCTGCCATGAGTTAGAGTGCCCTTTTTCCTTCTGTTGTAGGTGATTCTTATATCTTTTTGTTGCCTACTGGAGTCCTCAGGAACATCTACAGCATCAAGAGTGGTAACAGGCACAATGGGAGCCTCACTAGGTTCACCCGGGATGCTACAACTAGGAGGATCAGGAGGAGAAGATGGAAGGCCCGAGGCAGAAAGAGGCACAAAAAAGGAGGGGGAAGAAGAATCCCCTTCCATCCCACTAGTCTCCCCCTGAAGACGATTCTGGGAAGAATGAAAATAGGATTGAGACTCAAAAAATACCACATCTTTTGTGACATATTTCTTCTTGGTGACTGGATCATAATACTTGTAACCCTTCTGTGTCGGAGAGTACCCTAAAAAGATTCCTTTCGTAGCCCTAGGATCCAGCTTGGTCTTCTTTGGATCCTTTACATGTATAAAACATACACAACCAAAGACTCTAGGTGGAAGAGGAAAGTCTRGAAGATTARRACAAAGGRCAGAGAAAGGAGTTTTCATACCCAACACCTTGGATGGCATTCGATTTATCAGATATGATGCAGTAAGAACTGCTTAAGACCAGTAGTGCTTGGGAACCTTGTGCTGAAATAGTAAGGCTCGAGCGGTCTCCAATAGGTGTCTATTCTTGCGCTCAACAACCCCATTCTGTTGAGGGGTACTAGCACAAGATGACTGATGTAGCACACCAGCATGCTCCATGAACAAGTTCAAGGATCTTTCAAAATATTCAGCAGCATTGTCTGACCAGAATTGCTTAATCTTCTTGTCATATTGTGTTTCAATCATTTTACAAAATGCCATGGTCATCCGTGGCACTTCATCACGTCCTTTTAACAAGTAGATCCATGTGCATCATGAGTAGTGATCAATAAAACTGATAAAGTAACGAAAGCCATCAACAGAAACAAGAGGTGAAGGGCCCCAAACATCAGAATGAATCAAATCAAAAGGAGCTTGAATTTCATTACTAGAAACTGGATAAACAGTTCTACATTGTTTTGACAACTGACAMACTTCACAAACTAAACTTTGACTTGAAATACCCTTGAATAATTCAGGAAACA